ATTTTGGTACATTTTTATAGATAATTTCTCGACCCTTATTGACCTCCATGTTCATGCAGCTCATGCCTGACATAATTGACCTATCGCAGTAGAATCGCGTCATCGCAGCTCGTGACATATCCAACGCAATATTGATGCAGGACCTGCAAAATCCGAGACTAACAAAACTCAGCGTACAGTCCTACATTGAACCTAGGTCTTCACATCGGCAGCCCCATGCCATGACCACTAAAAACCATGCGCTGACCCGGACTCAGATGGTGAATTTAGTGATGTATTGATTTCTGAAATGATAGGGTGTCACCTGGTGCTGTCAAAATATATACCCTTTACATCTATAGGAATCCTTGTCAGGAGTTGAAAAATGTGAATGAAACAAAATGCAGTGGTGGCCTTCAAAGTACAGATTGCTGTGACAAATTTCCAATTGACAGATTCGATAACCATGGTAACACAGTCAGTTTCATTTTTCATCACCCTTGCCTATGGCAATAAGCATTGTGATGATTGTTGTACCTTGTCGCTCCACACAAGACCAATGCTTCTGCCATAAAAGGGGGGTCCTCCTTTGTCCAGTGAAACATTACTGGATGTGTCTTTATTTAGAGGTTAGCCTTATTTTTTCCCACCATCATGGGACACTGCAGGTGATGGGCGTGTTGATGTCGTTGACCTTTTACTTTCCTTCCAGTCAATGCCATGGAGTCAGCAGGTAGGCGCACCCAAGCTCGGGGTTTGAAGCCTGTCCCAAGGAGCGGACATGTTGCTGTGACGTACGGTGGCCTCATGCTTGTATGGGGAGGCTATACAGTAAGTGTGGTGTGTTACAAGTAGGCCTGAAGTTTCAGGGTGGCATAGTTAGTGTTTCTTTCCTTGCCTTCCACCTCTGCTGCGGTCTGAGTTCGAATTTAGGATCAATCTTTGTGTTTCTTTACCCGATGCGTTTTGTCACCCCCAAAACCCTAACCCTACCAAGCTCAATAATATCCAACAGTGGGCACTTTCTGTTGGAGTATTGTTGATGTGAGCAGTGAACAAAAGGCCTCTTATTGCAGCTGTTAGATTCTGTCTGGTTCAGCAGGCTTCACACTTTCATACATGTACATGTAGCTGATGAGTATCGTTGGATTCATCAGGGCACCAGCGTAATCAGGGTAGGGTTTTCTTTATGAGATAATGTGTACATGCAGTGTACATACCGTTTGGATACTGAACATGGAGAATGGAGGCCACTCAATTCAAGGAAACCCTGGGTTTTCTTTTGCTGATTTAATTTTTTTTTAAAAGCTTTCTCTGACAATGAGCCTAATGTTCTGACCTTTTGTTTGCACTTCAGGACCTTCCTGCTTTGTCCAGTGAATCACATTGGGGGGACCAGTATTTGGATGGCAGTGAGTTATGGTGTTATGACATAGAGGCAAGCTTATGGTAAGAAGAGCAACATCACAGTTGTCTGAAGCTATAATAGAAACCATAGAGGAAGGACACAGAAGGAGTTTCAACTGCCCAGGCTGCAACATCTGGCCAATTACCGCTTTCTGGCATGCCTGGTATGTCCATAGCCAGAGCGGAGCAAGCGCTTGCTACGCACCATCTGTTTCATAACCACGAAACCCCTTTGTACCCTGTGATTGCCGCCGCAATTTTTCGCAGGTAATCTGCATCCTTAAAACTTTGTGTACTGAGGTAAAGGACATTGAATATTCATACCTTTGTTGGTACCTGGTATGATCTCACGACAACATCATATTTAATGCTTGCGCAGTTGCTTGCTTTAAGCGGTGTGCCCTAAATCTGTATGTGCCGTCATTGCCCTTAATGAGCTTTTTTTTCTGGAGTAATTTTGGAAATAAATAGCCCGGTCGTTTACAGATTTTGTGTTTTGTTTGAATCCTTTTTATTATGGCATTAGTACAAAAGCGTATTTGATGAGATTTCACGATCACTCCCTGTAATGAAATTGCACATTTTGTTCCTAATAAACTAAGCTTTCCAGAAGTAGTGAACATTTTGTTGGCCAGTCTTAGCCAAATGCGCACCAAGTCTTTGAACACTGATGTATTGGACGGAGGAGAATAAAATTACAAACTTTGCATGGATAATGGAACAGTTTATCAAAATTTAAAAAGTTTATTTACGATGGCAAAAGTAGGTCTCACATCAGGGATTTTTCTCTTTCTATTTCCTGGTCACAGCGATAATTTGTATTTAATTGCAAGCAAAAAACTACAAGCATTGCTAGGATATTCCTGGCCCCGCTTGTCCGGCTGAGAAGCAGGCAGTGATCAGGCATTTTGGAATGTTTTCTATTATTCGTCTGACTCGGCGGCGGCCATCATTGAACACTTTGAAGTGCCTAAGTTGCAACTCCTCCTGTGTCCTTCCTCTATGATGAAAAAAAATGGCGCTTTGGCATCATATATGTCTGTCTACTTTATAAGACATCATTGACCCTCTACAATCCGGCACTGGAAGTGCCCCTACACAGAGAAAATCAAAGGCAAATGAAACAGATCCAAATTCAGTCTGTTTCAACTGGTGTGAAAATACCAGTACATTGGAGCTTGCTAATAAATGGGATACACTTTTAGAATGGGGAATCAGACAATGCACAACCTTTGTACTCAGTTGTGGCATCATATAGAAGTTCGATTAACTGTAAAACTCTGTAACGTTATCACATTGTACTTCAGCTCCGGTCATTTCCAAATCTTAGCAGGAACAGTACCTGTGTGTGATGCTGTGGCATTACATTGACCGCTACAAATGCTTTCCAACATTTTCTGAGTACCAGCCACTCTATGTGTAATTTTTCCCCTAAGGTTAGACTTCTTACTCTCCTTTCAGGGATGTCTGGTCTACCCGCAAAAGCCCACCAGGCATGTCAGGGAGCTGTGCTGCTTGTATTGGCAGACACATGTACGTCTTCGGTGGCTACAGTGCTGATGGTAATTCCAACAAGGCAAGTCAGTTTAGGAAATTTGGAACAAATTTCTTGTCTTTGAAAACCCCCGTTAGAAAGGAAACTGTTTCCCTGAAAAGAAACAGCCATTCAGATGTCAGCCAAATTTCCTGTATTATTTCCAATTGCAGTTTTGGCCTAGTTGTGTTCAGTGTTGCACATTGCTTTTCTCTGTAGCTCTACAGATTAGATTTAAAGACCAAAGTTTGGATGCACCTCAAGCCAAATGGAAAAGCGCCCTCACCCAGAGACAAGGTAGCATGCTGGCCATATAGAGACAAGTAAGTGAACCCTTGCATTGTGAAGACCACTATTTCAGCCAAGAGCTCTCAGGACCATCACCAGACCAACACAAGACCTCCAGTCTTAATTCAAGTCACAAGCTATTGACTTAACTGCAACGAAAGCTCCCCTGTGCCACTGCTCACACTGTTGCTGTGACCAGTCTTGTGTCTGGTCTTGTGATGGTTGCAATTACAGCACATGTGAAGACTTTTTTAAATTGACATCATTCAAAATTCACAGATATTTAGCCCCAGCCCCATCTGGTCTGAGCTTCCTAAAATTCATTCTGTTCACTCTAGTGTACCATTTTTCTTTTGTTTTAAGTCAACAGTAATTTCTTGTGAATTTGTTATAATGTAGGGAAACAAAAACATTGCAAAAAAATTACTTCATTTTTCCACTGAAAAGCATGGCTTGTGAAATGGAGTACTTTCCTTTTTCAACCCTAAAAGAGCCGGGTTACTTTGGCCCAATTCAGCCGGGGGAGGGGGGAGGAAATTCTGCCCCCAAGAACTCGGCTGTGCCACGCTTGATTTTGTTAAAAATTGACACGCATGTATAGACTCTCCTTTTCATTACAAATGTTTGATGTTTGAACTCAATTGGACATATGGTATTGTTGTTACGGTCATTTGAAGTTCATCGCTTTATGTGTGCCACTACACGTGCATTGAGCACCGCAGTGGAAAAAGTAAACCTTTTTGGGGTGACCCGTCTCGGGGCAATGCATGCTGCACGAGAATGGTACATGTATGTTAGATTTTTGTAAATAGGATGTCAAAATGACCGCAAAGAGTTGCTCTAAAAACTCCTCAAGGCTCAACTCCTGGAAAAAATGCACTGCAGCAGTATTGGAAAAAATGCTGAGGGAGGGGCGGATCCTCCCGTCTCTTAGTGTTAACTCAAAATAAGTTGTCAAGAAATAAACTTTTCTCCTCTTTCCCAATCCTAGCTCATTTACTGATAGAACCCCAAAAGACAAAATCTCATCAGTATCAATCGTCCGTTCAATGAAGTGCAGCTTATTTTAACATATCATGATTATCTAGTTAAGTTCCATGCTAAATGCCGTAAGCACCATACATTGCAGCCCAGAAGAACCCAAGCCTTGAGGAAAAGTCAGGGAATTCTGTTCTCCTGAAATGCTGCAAACCCTGCAATCACTTCACCAAACTTAAAAATCCGACCAAACTTGACCTGTCTTCCCAGGCTTGTCTTCTTTGGAGGGTTCGGGCCACCCCCAGACAATGAAGATGTAACTATGGATGGAGTAGGTCAGTGGCGAATTGATCTCTCATCTCTAAACGTCTGGTCACCAGTAAGTACTGATAATTGACATCATGCACTACACAAAAGTGTAACATCCATACCATAGGTCGGTCACTTTCAAAGTAGTCATGCCCTATCAACTAAATCCAGAGAGGCACCATCACTAGAACAATTACTTCAGTACCTATTGCAGGCATATTGGCAAGTCACAACACCCAATTAGTTGATGAGGCATTTAATGTATGTATAATATCAGCATGTAAATTTGGTATCTGTGATGGCTTCTTATTCTGGTCGTCAGATTGGTCTGCATCAATTTGTTTAAAGTTTTGACTTTCTCCTGCCAGTTTCACAGTAATTGAAGCCAGCGACAATATTTGGCCTCTGATAAGCCTCTTTGTATCATCAAGCAAGAGTGCGGAAACAAAAAACTACAATTCATCTTTTCGAAATTGATGTTTTTCATGAGATTTTTATCTGTCAACTGTCCTAAAAATGTCAAAATCCTCTCCCGGCTATCTCTCATTTCAATGGCTCCAGACTTCTGCTTCCATTGCTTTACATGGCCATGATGTCCTAAGTTTTTGAGGCCCTAATTTTGATCTAGCTCAGAATTTTTCCACAGGTTTACGTCATGTGTTTGGATTTTGCAAAGTTCCTAGCTCGGACATTAGTCGTTTCCATTCTCCTGAGCTGGTCTTAAACATGTATTCTTTTAGTATAATGCATACACAGGCAAATCAGTTAATTTTGTTCTCTTTCCTTTAATCAGACCAGGGGATGGAACAACCATTTAGTCGTGTACAACATCACAGAAAACTCTTGGACTCATGTACAAATAAAGGTATAAGTAACAATGTAACAGGCAATATCCTTTTCAGTGTTGATTCTGTGGAGTGCAGATATACGCCATCTAATCCTAGCACTGAATGTCGTAGTGCGTGCATGTATATGGATTCCAACCTGGTAACCAAGGAAGGCCATATTGTTTGCACAGACTGGTTCCAGTGTGTGCGTGGCATTGAGTGTGGGCAATCAGTTTTCAACTGAATGTGCACAGATTGTGATCATCTTTGTGAGAAAGGAATGCTCCTAGCTGGGTGAAGCATAGTCTTGTGTTTGAAACTCTGGGCAGATTTTCCATCGTGCTTCTGAGACCTCCTTGTAGACTTCTTTTTTTCGTATTCACTTACCTCACTCGCAGGGTTATCAACCATGTCCAAGAGCTGCTCATGCTGCTGCTGTTATCGGCAATAAAGGGTACTTGTTTGGGGGTCGTTTTGAGGGCAGTCGGATGAATGACCTCCACGTCTTGAACCTGGACACCTTGCAGTGGGTTGAAAGGCAAGTTCATTTTTGGAGATGGCGTGCACATGGTAGCATTCGATGAGCAATAAAGACATTTTCAACCTGTCACAATGTAAAGTACAAACATCGGCAGAAATGCTCGAGAATTACAACAATCCTTTCCCCCCATGCAGCTTAAACCCAGTGAGTGGTGATATTCCGATGGGACGTTCTTGGCATTGCATGGCCCCCGTAAGCGATAGACACCTGTTAGTCTATGGTGGCTACAGTACGGAAGGCGTGCCACTGAGTAAGTCACTTGCTTTCGAAGTAGAGTGTAAAAGTTAGTCACTCTGACTCTGGGATGTTTCAGAGGTGATTAACATGTTAAAGTCTTGCCAACTCAAGACGTAACACACACTGTCACCAATTTGCTGATTAAATTTGCTAATTTTTTTGCTGAATAAAAGTCAAAAATGAAATGGAAAAAAAAAAGTGGGCTCAGATCTGTTCAATACAACATAATGTTAAGTCCATGATTAAGTTTAATACAGTTGCATTTCTCTCACTTTGAAGTGTGCACAATGTGCTGGGGAGATATGAAGTATGTAAGGTTTCCTGTAGACCTCTCACAGATTAGAGAACATGGATTATTTCCTTATTAAAACAGCCGACATTGTCCAACTTCAGGTAGGGGCTTTACCATATGGAACTGACTGGGCAGGTCTAGGTAGTGGTGTAGGGGCAAAGGTCAGTTAAAATTTTAAAACCAATTTTCCGAGAGACTGGCATGTTTCTCTTCCATCGCAGATGATGTGTGGGTCTTGGACGTGGAAAATAAAACATGGCACCAACAGGATAGTTTACCCTCAGATACAAGGTAAGTTCTGTACACTTTCACAGTGGGAAGTGTAAACGTGACATTGTTATCATAAAAGCCATTTCATTGCTGTTAGATCTCAGGTGAGGTCACGCACCTTTGCATCCTGCACGTAGGATTCACTGGGCAGTTAAGACGTATTTTCATAAATGGAAAGGTACCACATGAGGTCTGGAGTATAACCTTTGAGTCCATGATAAAGAACACGGAGCCCAAGTCGTTGCCCTCGTTGAATGGACTCCTTATACCTGAGACCCTGATTCTTAAGGTTGAGACCAAAATCTTGAAGTTCAGGAACCACATCTTGAAAAACCCAACACTTTCTAAAAAGTCTGACAATTTCATAACCTGGCAAGAGATAAGACCCCAAAGAACACTGTTTTGTTTGTACATACCTACACGATTTTTCTGATAGAGTTTTCCCCCATAATACTTCAATCAGTAAGCTGGCTTTGTCATTTTTTTATTCCCTGTTCAAGAATATGGCACACTGCGGTGAGTGGCGTTGATGCAGGGGAAGTGGTGGTCTTTGGAGGATGTAGCAATGACCTCCTGGATCCCTACGAGAGAAGTGTCCACTCCAGCAAGATCTTCAAATTCTTCTTCAGCCCCAAGAACCTGAAAAGGTCCGTCGGGGGGGGGGGTATTTTTATTGAGCATCGGGGCCGGTGTTGATCCCCAGTTCAGTGAAATTCTGCCAAGCTGATCAGATTTTCATATTGAGGAAACAATGATAGTCTCTCTGTGCACACTTTCACTGTCCAAATCTCAAGCTTGCAAATATTCCCACATTTCTGGCTTTATCCCTAGTTCTTATCTTGCTCTTGGTTTTCCTTCTCATGTCTTGAGACTCCAACTTGTCCCACAACTCCCACATATGTAATCTCCTGGAACAGTTCAAATGAAAATCACTCAGGGAATGTCTTGGGTGCACGAGTTGGTGGTCATTGCAGATCTCTGGTAGTGAAGCTCTTTCAGGAGCTTGGAAAATAGAGCTGAAGTGTTTTGCACACAGAATATGCCAAGTAAGGTTACTATGCTACCGAAAGGACAGCAACAAAAACTTCCTGACAGCCTAAAGAAGTCCTACGTTTATCCTTGCTTTGTTCTCCAAAATTCTACTTTTGTCCTAAAAAAAAAATTGACCCTATATTTGAAAGCCCGAGATCCCCGCTCTTCAGCTTCCGAGGGAGGAGGTTTAGTGTTCTAATCCACAACTGCTGTTTTAAACACAACTGTTCTTTGATATACAGGCTGTGCTCAGAGGCTATTGTTACAAATATTGCCATGCTAGAGAAAGAGCTCAACGCGCTGCCGTCTGTGCTGCAAAGGACAATTGAACTTCTCCTGCGAGGCTGTCGAAAGGGGGATGCCAAGAAACATGGCTACAACCTCAGAGCTCGGCCAAAAAGCTCATGACGAGGGGGTTGCTTCAACAAACCATTTCATCATGCTGGGATAAGATTCTGCATAGAGTATGATAAGCCAGATTACTGCAGGTTATTTGGTTATGAACTGACGATTTACCCAGTGCTACCCCAGCATATATGAACCTCCTTGACTTTGTTACAATCTAGCACTGTACAGCAACCTCAGTGATATGTTCTCTGTCCCTAAAAAAAGCCGGAACAGAAAGGTCTGTGTGAATTGATGGTTGCTGGCCTGTACAGTCTTGAATCCATAACGTAAAGCCAAGTCTTGGAATGCTGTGTTGACTTTTCAACTGTTAAGACTAAAAAAGCGAAATCATTGCTAACACCATTATAAGTGGAGGATTATGTATAAAAACTTCAATCCAAATTTATGGCACCATACTAGGAATATTCTGGTTCTGATCTCTACGAAACTTGATGAGTCTTAGTTTCCCAATTTCTGTATATTACAATGAAATAAGATCATTTCAAACAATTGCAACGACAGTGAATGAACAAAAGGTGTCATTCTCACTTAAAAGTATTCCAATTTATTTCCAAGATTATTTACACCTTATAGATGTGCCTTATGGTACAAATTCTGAACGCATGTCCTTACATAGAAGCTAGTTTCTTTTCACATTGCATTCATTGCTTGCTTCTAGGAATTTGTAGAGGGAGTAAGCCCCACATACTGAGAGAGAATAGAACAATGTAACGGGAAGAGAAATTTCTGCTCGTAGATTTATTCCCAAGTTTTGTCCTCACAGAATTTTGTATCTGTGGCAAAATCCAGATATTATCTATACATCATGCAGATTTCAAGTCAATTTAGCAAGCACAGGCATCATGGTGTTGAAATCCACTCTTTTTGTTTCAAAATAATTTTTTTCTTTCAATCATAATTTTCTTTTAAAAGTATTAATCAAATCAATAATACATAACATATACAAAAAGGAGCTTAAAGGAACCAGGAAATGAATTTATCTTAGAATCACTTTTTGTGTATTTCTGTACTCTTCTTCCATGTATGAAGACTGTTGGACATCTTTTTTGAGTTACATGAACTGATCGGTGCACTTTTTCAAACATTAAAAATTGACCAAGCATTTCTGGACAAGTGAGGGCGCTTTTGCTTTGATGTAAATCCAGGAAGACATGGTTCACGTTGCATGTTCAAATTGTGAACCCCAAATTTGCTATCTGGGAACATTTATGTGGAAGTGATTTTTGCTGGATTATTGCCATATACTTACACAGCAATAAACTGCCAAAGAAAATGAAATCTGCCATAGCAGTGGTTAAAAATAGCTAGAAATTTTCTGTGCACAAATTGGTGCAACATCGAGATTCAGTGCCTTGGATGACATCATAGTTCTGCTCGTGAATATGCAAATAACATTAGCATAAAACCAATAAAGCATCAAAATATGGGTTAAAATTGCAAAAAAAAATGAAAATCAGGTTGATTGAAACCCAAAGATGCAATTTCAAGGGTTTTTAGTAAAATTTATAAAAATATTTCTATTTCCTGGTTTCTTTAATTGTCTGAAGTGTGAACACAGTGATGTCAAACAGAATTTTCAATCAGCTGGTTCAGTCCTTCAGTCATTTTTCCCTAGAATTGGTTTCTGCCAAGGTCTAGATCAAATGGAATTTATTTGTTAGGTCTGAACTTTTACACTACTAGCAGGGTTCCTTCTCTCCTGTCAAAGGTTTAGGTTTTCATAGTGCGTGCAGTTTGGAAGGGTCCAGACCTAGCCCACACTCAATCTGAGGTCTGTGAAATGGCCATACTCTAAGCACCGACTTGATTTCTGGTGTTTTTTTCTGCTGCTGTATATTAAGCAAAGTTAAACTGAACAGAAAAATGTTTCACACATACGTTTTATTATATAACTTGCGTAAATCAAGTTGTGTACATGTGTTGTTTCATACATTAAGCTGTGAGATTATGAAGGTAAATGCCATTAGTGGTGGATGTCAGTGAAAAGATACATTTTACTAACAACTTTGAGTGATTTCCCCAACGTGTGACTCGCATGATTGTTCATTGGTTCCTACTGCATCCATACTCCTTGGAAGAATACTTTGTAATTTCAGCCAATCTGTTCAAATATCGAATTGCTCTTGAATGTTCTCACTGTTGAATATTTGCTGGGATATGAATATTTATTTATGTGGGATTTGTGCGCACACCAATCACTGCACAGCGCTACAACTGGCTCTGCTTCTGGCCGTGCTGTTGTCGACTCGGGCCAGCCAATGGAACATCTCTTTCGTCCCACACGGACACTCCGTCACACTGGCATAGTTTCTTGGTGTTTTCAAACAGTCCGGCCGATCTTGCGATGATCCCACAGGCAAGTCTGCAGGAAAGAAAATATTACGAGTGACTGGACTTAATGATACTTTGATATTAACATTTCAAAGAACTTACACAACACGTTAAGTCTGCAGAGTAACTCAAGCCCACGCCTACGCACCACAGAAAGTGCAGAAAGTCTGTGGATACTCGGCTGTGCGTATATGCTTCAATGTTGCAGAATCCCCCCCATCTTATTTTGTACATGATTTTCAACTATAGACTTTCACCTGAGCATGGACCACACTGTCCTCTGGTTTAAGAATGGTGAATGTGCATGATGGTATGCATACACCAATACACAAGGGAAATTCTTACAAACATTTTCTAAATGGAAATATATCTTTAACCCCTTCATCCCGGGAACCGTCGAAAGCCGCGGCTTTGTGTGAGGATTAGTGCATACCCCACGTACATGTGCACTCTATTCATTATGCACCTGCGGTTTCAATGTGGGCCTGCTGCTGGACAGGGCTTTGCATTCTGAGCATACCGCAGCCCAGCAGTCACGGTCAAAAGCTAAGTTGGGGACATACGCCCTCTGGCAGGTTTTTTTTTTGGGGGGGGGCACAAATAGAGCCTTGCACATCAGTGATCAGTCACATCTGCACAGCACACTGTTGGCATGCAGCCAGTGTAGCAAAAGGGCTGAGGGAGAGTACTGAGGAAAGATGCCAGTCAAGGCTTTCACTCTTGCTGCAACCTACCCCGGGCCGCTGTTGCCGTCAGTTTTGGAGTTGGGGTTTCCACCTCCGCCCAGATCGTCTTTACCGCTGTGGATGACCATGCAGCGTCCAATCACATCCCACACCTTAATACGTTTAACAATTAACGATTATCTGAGGAGTCTAATAAGTATACCTATTTGAAAAGGCCCCAAGACGAAGAAAATGTCACGATGAAGCAACTGAAAGTAGTTATTAGTTCTAATCATACTCGGTCCAGGACTACAGAAATTTGCATCCAGGGGGTGCCTGCCATTATTGTTGCTGTGGGGAATGTACATCAAGATATGTCAGGTTGGCAGTCCATGTGTTACTCAGACCAGAAATGTTTAAAACGAATTGAGTGGTTACAGAGTGCAACAGGGCTGCAGCACTGGAAGCTGATGACACAATGAACATGACTAGTTCATTTCCTCCCAGGTCTGGCAGTGACTTGCATGTAGATCCTGCCTTTATTACATCAACGTTCTTCAAGGGGAGAGCTGATAGCGAGCTATCTGCATGTTCAGTCTGAAAGAGATGGTTGGCAAACCCAACTTGCCAGCTCTGACCTTAATTCTGTCATTCTTCATACGGAATCTAGCACGCCCATCATCATCAGCAATCACATTCCCCAAGTCTCCGTTGTGCTGCAGAGAGAAAAAAGAAGCAAGTTTCTGTTTTTTTATACATCAAAAACATATTCAGATTCAGGTCAGGTATTTTATCAAAATTAAATTACATTTGACAGGACTTTCCAACCGGATAACCAAGTGGGACGGACACTGAAGTTATACATTCTTATCCTTTCTCACACAAACAATTTGCTGAAGCAAGAAGGTTATGATTCACTTCTTGAAGCGTTTATTGTTTTTGTAGCCACGCCCACTTAATCTTACCCTTTCATTATCCTCTGGTCCTCCGTGTCTTGAGTTGGTGGGATTAAAGTGCATGCCACAACTGATACAGAAAGTAAACAAATGATAACTAGTTACTTTTGTAAAATAAGATGAAGATTGGAAATGGCCCACTTTAGCAGCTGTCCATAAAGTAACTGCCAAAATTATTGTTGACAAGCATACAGGCCCCCTGTGAAATAATTCTTTCAGGCAAGCGTCATTTTGAAGAAGGCAGTGGAAGAAAGTCACTTTTAATGATGTGTCTAAAGGTGGATTTTTGGATATAGCCAATAGGGCCTAGTTTTTTTTTGGCCAAAGCGCATGCACGGTTGCTGTAATTCATCCGTTCAGTGCTTAACATCATTTAGCTGCAGTCACCTGAATGAAATTGTTCCAGATACTGAACTTGGTGCAATTAGAAACATGATTGGCAACTATTGATTTGAAATTAAGAAACTAGAATATTGCTTTTCATGGGATTATAACTGTACAGCATTCACTGAGCTCAAAACTTCACAATGTTGGGTGTAAAACATTCTTCTTAAGATTTGCAACATTCTGTTCCTCAAGCAAACACAATGCACAAATGACTAAATGACCTTTAACCCTAACCCTGCCAGATGCAGCACAGGTGGAAAAGCCTGATGCATTTTGATGCATTTGGCAAACCAACAGCAGCCGGACAAATTGGTCTTGTAGAAACAACAGGGACTAGTCTCATTGAAAATGCCACTAGTGGATGTTGTGGTAACTGGCAACTACAGACCCCTAGGCTGTTTGGCCTTGGAAAGAGTTGACCTGTTGGATCTTGTCGATATATTGGGCATGCAAGCCACTTGGACAAATGATGCAGTTTGATGCGTCTGGCAGGGTTTCTAGCCAAAGCAGGCAGGGGGTAAGGTTAAGGCAAACTGGGACTTAAATACTTCCAACTTTCCACCACATTCCCAAATGCTCTTCAACATGTAAAACGTTCAACATCATTTCCTTAAATTTTATGGCAAGTGGAAATGTAATATTTAATGCAGTGTTTAGTGAAGGATCCCAGCTCAGAAACGCTGTTGGACTGGGCCATGAAATCTGAACATTACCTGTTGCAACCATCCGAGATGTCACCAAATTCATGGATATTCAGTCCGTGCGCCCCAGGTGTGAGACCATCAACTGTCCCCTCGATGACACACTGATTGTCGGCCAATTGGACCATTCGTATAACTCCCATCACTGGGCCATTGTGGGGGGTGTCTAGGACAGACACGGCTGCACCAAGATGCTTTCCTGGTAGGAGGAAGAGTGTTAATGAGTCAGATATGGCTTTGAAAAATGTCGTTATGTTAGCTGCTTTGAATGGTTTCAAGAGAATTTCACACAACTTTTACAAATGCAGTGAGCAGCAGTTGTGAGAGCAATGACTATCAACAG